GGGTCTGAGAAACTAGTGAGCTTTCAAAATATTTTTTAGTAAATAAGAATATTGGGGAGTATTGATTTTTTATAATGTATTTAATTCCCAGGTCTACTATCAACGTTATTAAAGAAAAAACTTATGAAATAACAATAAAATCTTTAACATTAAATAATATTTGTCGCCTTATTTTTATTATTATAAATGAAGAGTTATATCAATAAATTTACATGCAGATTAGATTTATAATGCAGTTGAAATCGAAAGTATAATCTATAAATAGAACTTATGCAGTCTAGAATTTTAAACATAATCATTTCTTACATGTGTTTTAAAATTTTTCAAAATTATTCTTCTCAGGAAATTCTTTCCTGAGTTTTCTTTTTGTTATTTAATCTATTTAGAAACAACCAAATCGGGGAACACAAACGAATTCTTTTTTCTACGAATTCCTTTCTTTTTTCAACGATTAAATGGCACTGGCGAACTCCAGGCAGAGATTTCCTGGCTGTTACATTTATGGACCTTATGGATCGTGGCCGATTTTTGAGGAGTTCCGGTTGGTTCGAACGAGGGGCGAAAAAAGTAAGATCCGGCGGTGGCAAAACGGGCCTGGATGGCCTATGTGTATACCCTTCGGGAGCTACGTTAACCTAACCTAATGGCGTTATGACAATAATGACAGCAGAATTATGCAAAAATTGTCAAAGAAGAAAATTTGTATTACACTTTTGTCTGATTCAGAATGTTTTTTAAGTTTCGTTTAATCTTATAGTCGAAGTTGTTTCATACTTTTATCTTACTTAACCATTTGTTGTGTAAAATTTTTCAAAATTCTTCAGATTAATCGATAAATGTATTTAATAAATTAATAAATTTAGTTCAAACTGAATTAAACTGTGTGCTTGCTTAAAAAATAAGTTTCAGTGCTTATGTGTCCAGTACATATCTTTATGAAAAAGTAAAAGTGGAAAATATTTTCCGATCTGTTCTTTTTTTTTCTACCCATATGAACGTATGTTTGAAGGGTATACTAAATTTGCCTTACCGAATTCTGAGTTGATTTAGCTTTGTCTGTCAGGCCGTACGTCCCAACAATAACTCAAAAACCAATTGAGCTCAGTTCACCAATTTTTCACAAATTATTTATTGTAATAAGTGCCAGAACCCTATTTAAATTGGACATTATCGGGGTAACGGTTCGTGTAGCTGCCACACAACTTCAAAATTTATTTGGCTATGTATCAGAAACTACAAAAGCTGTGGTATTGAAATTTCACACAAACGAATATATTAGTAGGGCCAATGTGTTTAATAAAAGTTGTTGAAATTACTTGGCTCTTTCTGGTACCTGTCATAAAACTTCAAAAGTTATTTGGCTATATCTCAAAAACTATAAAAGCTATGGTATTGAAATTTCACACAAGCGAATATATTAGTAGGGCCAATGTGTTTTTTAAAAGTCGCTAAGATCTCTTGGCTCCTTCAGGTAGCTCCCATACAACTTCAGTAGTATTTTGGCGATATATTAGATAATACTGAAAACACAGTACTGAAATTTGGCCTAAATTAATATGGTAATACGGCAACTTAAAGTCATAATCTATCCCATAGTTAGTTACGGCATATTTATTTGCATATAGGATAAGAAATTCGTACGGTTATCACAGAGTTGACAAGGTCAACTCCATTTTTCTCGTTTTGTATTTTCAATTTCACTTCCATTTTTTCTTTGCAACAGCAATAATTTATTAAATTTTGTACCGCACATTACGTGTTAAATAAAAACGTCTAAATATTTCTTAAAATTATAAAAAATAAAAAAAAAGACTTACAAAAGAAATGGAAAATGGTGTCAGAGGCGAAACACAACAACAAAAGTAAAAAAAAATCTGTTGTGATCAGCACATAATCGACCGAATTGTGTATTGTTTTTATTAGAAAAAGTATTCCAGAAGGTTATGAAAATGCGTTTTAAACACTTCTTTACAATTTTGAAAACACTTAAGAAAGCTTATTACTTTTAGTTAACATACCTATGAAAATGCGAATTTGGCTCGTCCGAATTACACGAAAAGTTCGTCAGTAACTTGTGCTAACAACCAAAACTCAAATATTAAATTACAAGAAATTCCATCAAATCGTTCCATATGGTAAAAAATGTGAAATCGGCCTCCAGATTCATTTTGTTTTGACACCTTGAATTTAAATATTAAATTGCAATGAAATTGATTGATTATTTCGCTTTATATATGCAAATATGTACATTTGGCTTGTAGTAAATGGCCAGTTGCTACCACCTAATTTCTTCCAAAAGTTTGGAGGTTTCACGAATGATCGAATAAAGCTTACATATGAAATTTTAAGTAAATCTGTTGAATAGTCCAGTTTCCGAGGTCGATATATCCCAAAAGTTGATCAATCAGTGCCATAGTCAAAATATATATAAAATTTCATCAAAATCGGTTCAGCTGAACTTGAGATACACGCGTGCTCATACCGACCGACAGGTTGTTAAAAATAGTTTATTTACACTTCCCTACCACGGAAAAGTGCGTTCCCACAGCAAACTCGATATGCAAAATTTGTTACCATCACATAACCTACCTTCTTGTGTACGCATAACAAAAAACTTAAATTAAATTCTTTTTTTTTACTTTGCATTTGCCTAATAGTCGTGTGCTTATACAAGTATTGTCTTCAACGAGTAGCTTTTGTTTTCTCACTCTTTGAATACTTTGTGTTTTTATTTACACAAACCTTTGTTATTTTTTTTGTGTATATGTAGGTTTCCATGTTATCATTTCAACGAACTGTGTAAAAATGAACGTACAACATTGCTGCTTATTTAAAACTAAAAAATAAATGTTAGTACACTTAAATGTGCATGTATATGGTAGTTTTACAATGCACTATGATAGTAACTGAATTCACAATTCTAAATAAACAATGGATAGAAAAATTCTTGCGTAATTCGTGCTGCTATTGTGTTTTGCTTTCCTTTTTTTTCAATAAATGAGAGCGACAATAAATATTAAGGGCAATCTCTATGTAGAATGTAAATATGTAGTTTGTTTTAAGCTCTACTACAATAATATTGAAATAAATTTTTAAATAAAATCTGTTCATAAAGGATTTAATCATAGCAACCTTATGTTTCTGATAATTTGTTGCAAAAAACTATAACAATTTCTATTCACACCTTACTTGTTCTCAAATATTTGTATATCGTTTCAAATTAACGTGATCATAGGATTGCCGCCATTTGTCAAGACTAAATATTGCACAAAAGTTGACACATTTTTAGCACATTTTCTAAGAATTTTGCTTTGCTGTGCCTCGTTCATTAAAACTTTTATTGCTTCTTTTAATCTTTAATGCCCTTTTAGATTCAGGATCCTTAATAAAAACGAATAAAGTTATGTATTGCCTTTTATGTCGACAATTGAAAAATAAATTCCCTTGTAAAAGAATTTAATAAGAGAACATATTACTTAAATTCCACTAAAAATATTGTAATGTAAAATGTTGTCAAAACAAGATCGTATGTGACAACTTATTGATTGGTATTGTTAACAAGTTGTCACATCTCATGTGAAACAAAGCTTGTAATCTTGAAAGCACTAACTCAACCCCGAAATTGACAAATACTACATTTTAGTTAGTGTATTATGCTGGTTAGCAATTTGGCTACATTCACATGCAGGTGTAAAGTGAAAAGGCTATTGTGTGCGTAGATTAAGTAATAATATTTTAAGAAAAAAGTATTTTCAACATCTCAAATTGTTTGAGGACAATGTTGTCGTTAACAAAGAATTGGTTTTACGCGAGGTTTTTACCTATGAATTTATGGGCGTCTTTTTTTAAGGTACGCCCAGTGTTGTTATAATCAAAACTTAATATATAGTTATATTTGTCCCTCTTTACTGCTAAACAGATTTAAATTTCTAAAAAGATAAACTAAAGGAACTAGCAAGGTAAACCTATGATGTGAGGAAGTTAATTAAAAAACTTATTTAATTAAGTTCGTATTTTCTTATTAAATATAATAAATTTAATAAATTTAGTTATTAAATTTAAATAAAAGTAAAGTAAATTTTGCATGAGCAAAACTAAACAAAAAAAAATTCAATCTTATACGTATCACTTGCTTTCAGTAGACCCCTAGCAGGCATTCACGGACCCCTGGGGGTCTATATACACAACTTTAGGAATCACTGGTTTAACCGAATAGCTTTTGAAAAGCGGTCTACCAGAGTTTAGAACTTGAAAGAGTAAAAAAAAGTATAATTTTTCAGTCTGAGTTTTCTATTGTTAATGGAAAGACTGAAATTAATTGTTTAGGTAACATATAATATGAAATGGAAAGTGATGCAACTGAAGAAATGAGCTGTTATATTTAGTTTTACTACATCATTTGCATACCCTTATCTCTACAAAAAAAAATAAATTATCGTTCAAAAAACTAAAAAAATATGTATTAGCATAAAATGCTGCAAAAAATAAGCATGTACCTAAAGAGTTTCAAAGAATTAAATTTTCCTTTTTCTTCTTAGTTTCAAATTATCGAACGCCATATACACCAAATTTTAATATGTTTACTTTTATATAGATGGCTGTTCATTAAGCCATATATAGAAATATTTCCACAGTTTTAATTATCTGAATGAACCGAATCTATAAAATACTTTGTTTTCATTGTAAAATAAAATTCAATAAATAATAGAAAAATATAGAATTATTAGTTTAGAACTGTTCACATTTGAGCCTTCTGTTAAAATAATTAAGCGAAATCTTAAAATGAAATATGAATTGTTAAGAAAATGTGGTTACAAATCGAGCTTCCTACCAGCTTAAAGCTTGTTTAGAGTTTCATAAAATATTTTTTCCAATATTTCGCAATATACTGTCTTCAAACACTTCTTTTAATAGTCACCAAACTGCAAAGTTTCCTATTAATCCAATACTCAAATTCACTCAAAACACCAATTGTATTAAGTGTCTGGACTCTAACAACATTAAAAATTTCCCGAAGTATTTTCTGAAACATTTCCCGTTACATATCTAGCAAATATGAGATTTTTTAAAATAATTTTCGTCCATATAAATATTCAAATTTTAAAATTGAACCAATTTTGATCTAGCCGCACATAATATAAGAAAAAACAAAAAAATGTTTACGTTTGTTTACTTTTATTCATAGAAATGCTTTTTTTTATTTTCCTTAATGAATTTTAATATCAGCACATGAAACGAAGGTCTCTTGTATTCCACAACCTAAATGTCCAGAACCATCCCTGCATAATCCCCAATTATTACCTATAATGACAAATTAAAAGATTTTGTAAAAAGTAAAATCATCTTAAGCTTGATGTAAAATTACCAGCAACATATTTCCATCTTAAAACGCAATGATTACAGTGTGTACCACTTGGTATTATAGCTGATGCATTCAAAAATCCAGTTCTAGAACCAACATCATATCTTGTTCCACCAACATCCAAAGATAATTCTCCATGTTCAGCAAAGCAACTTTCCGATTCACTACCAAATTTATCTAAATTGCATAATTCAACCGACCAGTGTCCTAAATGATTTGCAGTTATTAATGGACCAACCCACAAATATTTTCCATTATATTCTTTGACAATAACTCCTTGTCCATATTTTCCACCTAATTCATGTGGTCTTGGTTGTCTCATATTGTAATCATCACCACACAACCCACATTTTCCACCAAGTGAAGCAAATGTCCCCAAACTTCCACAATTTACACCACTATCGTCATAATTAGCTGGAGCAGATCTATCTTCACGCCATCTTGATGATCTACCAACTGGATCTAATAACATACCATGACCTTCAGCAAAATTCTGTACATTATTGCCAAAAATAAAAATCACAAAAATTAAAGGTATCATCAAATCGATGGCACTCATATTAGTTTCGAATCTGAATTTCTGTTCCTCGGTTTAATTTAATAAATGTAAAATTATTGTAATTTGCTTTCTACACCAATACAGAACATATTTAAATTTTAATTTTGAATCGTGGGGTTTTTATATACCAACATTATTAGAAAATTTTATTGCAAATCCTGTCTGATAAGACAAAAACAAAAATCAGCAAGAAAAAAAAAACAACGTTTTTTTCTTTTATCTTAGATAAGACATTTTTGACGGATAAATGATATTTCTGTCTTATCTATTACTATGGATTAAGGTTTCTTCTTATTTTGTTTTTTTTTTTGTTGCTTTTGGTTTTAAGAATGATGCCATTAAAGAAAAAACAAAAAATATACAAAATATTATTTACAATTCAAATTTTAATGATATCGGCCTTAAATACTTTAATACGATATTAGGAATGATAAAGGGTGGTGAGCTGAAATTGATGAAAGTTTTAAATCTTTTGAAGATTAAATAAATGTCGGTTGATTCTATTTTATAGCAAGAAAATAAGATTGTTCTTTCATTTGAAATAGCAATATTTAAAGACATCAATTCGATTCGAAAAGAAAATGGAATCAGTGTTATGAAATAAATTCTATAATTCTTTGGTTATTCTTGTAAATTATAAGAAAGTAAAGTATAAGAATGCATATGATAAATTTTGGGAAAGCTTTTAAGCATAGAATGGCAACTACAATGTCAAAGCTTCAGAAACTATGGGCAATCATCATTAAAAGTAATGCTTTTCTCATATTAAAGTAGACAAGAACATATGACCTATTTCTTAATTCACTAATAATCCATAATTAATAATCCATAATGATAAACGCTAAAATTAGTGAAAAATAATCAGGTTATTTCTATAGTGTAAGCAAAAAACAGGAATTCTGCATATTTTTACAGACAAAAAAAATTCCACTAGAATCCAAAATTACTTCAATATCTGTAAGTTCTAAATATATCCTCAAAGAAGTGTCAACAAGCTTTATAACTTTCGTCTAAACATTTTAGTGAGAGTTGGGCATGAAGAATCATACGTTCTGATATAAATTTTACACGACTTCGTATATTTTTTCGTAAAAACACATAAGGAAGAACTCTGACCTAAAGATTTGGTTGCAAAACTGTAAATCATTAATTTTGCCTAAAAAGTACGAAAATAATTTACGGATATTTTATAGTGATTTTATTTGGAGACTGTATTTTTGACAGATATGCACAACTCTATTATAAAAGTAAACTCGGTATTACTTCCTGCTACTCTAGTACCGCATGCTGATTTTTAAAAAACGTAACATTTGAAATATGAATTTTATGGGTTTGTTTCATGACATTAAAGTTGATCCGCAATATTATTTTGTAATTTTCTCCGGTTCTAATTTTTAATAAATGCTTTTGATGTCAAAATATAAATTACTCTTTTAAAAGCGAATTTCGCTCTTAGGAAGTTAATAGTTATCAAACGAATCTCTCTCCTCATTATTCTTTCCGCTCCATGAACTTCTTAGTATGTACCAGCAATGTTTTCGTACACATGGCGTAAAATATAGAACAACTTATTTATTTATTTTGTAAATTACAATATTGCTTCATTATTCATGACTAATATTTTCTCTCTAAAGGAAATTTGCCTTTTGGCGGTGTCTTAAAATCCAAAATTAATTCTTTAAATTTTTTATTCTATAATAAAATAAAGATATTTATGTATAGCGATTAATCTTTTCGCTAATTTATTAAGTGAAAAACAATAAAAGCTAAATTTGCATTCTAAAATTTTATAGTACAAGTTTTGTGCGTCTAGAATTTTTCAAATGAAATCAAAATTTACTAATTTTACGTTAGTTACTATCGCGAATTTTCCTGACAACATCCTGGACGAAAGAAAAATTTCACTCATTACAATTTCTTGAATTTGAAAATTACATAATTATCAAACGGAGTTTAAACTGGCAAGTAGAAAAATTTAATTGTCTATGAAATCTAAATTTTATACCTTTACAGAAGAACATAAGCTATAAGCTACGGAAATGTAAACTGCATCTGAAACTGTTTGAAATATACAAAATTGTTGACAAATTGATGAATGAATTCTAGTTTGAAGAAAATTAATCTCTTGCTTCTTATTTTGGGCCGTTTGTGTGGCTTTTATTATTTAAGTCAATTATTAATTAATAAAATAGTCTTTGAATTTTTCACAGAACATTCAAAATAAATAAAATTTAACACTTTTTGCAGAATATGCAGTTTTATACAGTCCTAATAAAAAATATGAGGATGTATGAGGTATCAATTCAATATTTGATGAATTTTTTAAATGAAAATTTCATTTACGTACACTCGGGCTCAACAGTTTACAAAAAATACTGAATTAAATTTTCCATTTTCCTCCACTAACACTCTTATGAAGGTTTTGAAAATACTGTAAACTTGACAAACAGAATAAAATTTTTAATTATTTTTATTAAATCTTTAATATTAAAAAAATTAAAGTGTAACGTAAATGTATGGTTTGAAAAATATTTCTCCAATTTAAAAATTACATGCGCCGCCGGTTTGAACTATACGCAACGATTTTTTATTCATTAATTACCGTTTGTCCAAAAATTAATTGGTGATTTCGAGTTGTTAACGGTGAAGTTAATACAGCAGTTATGACGATACATGATATTGGCTTACGTCTTCCGGCGTTTACAAACCTATATAACTTAATAAAACTCTAAAAATTAGAAAATTGAAAGTCCGACGTATATTTCATTTTGCTGATTCTAAATAGAAAATGTTTCCCCATTTAAATATATGCAAGCAGAATTGCATTCCGTTATTAAGCATCCGAATGCAGTGTTTTAGAAAGATATGTAAAACTTCTTATTAATTACCTTGGTATAAAAAAGGAATTAAGCTGAAATAGGGTCCAATGTCATTTCACTGTATTCCGATGGTATTTTCTCTAGAAAAGTTTACCATAGTTTTTTCTCCCTACCATGCAGTTGCGCAAAAACGGTTTGTTATTTTTAATGTCATTTTTGGTTTTGATTAGTACCTTATATACGTATATTACATATTGAAATTATGTTCCCAAGATTTAAGGAGACATTTAATGTATATTTTATTTATATTCTAAGATTTTTAAATTTAAAGTTTCTCTTAACTTCTTAATTGTAATAGTCCCAAAAGTTAACCAAATTTCCTCAACATTTTTCATTTTTAAATTAAGATAATTTGTATTAATTTTGTTGAAAATGAAATTTGTTTAACTAATACTTATACAATAATTGATGCTGACACTCTCATCTTCGTCCAAGTAACTATATTATAACTAACTTTCCCAGTTTTTTTTTTACTTTTAGGATAATTACCAATGTTATTATTCTAAACCATCAGTCAAACTTTTCCGTTATACTTTTATAACTTTATTGTCCAAGAATTTTTAAATATAAATTCTATATACACTTTTCTCTATGTACAAGTATACGGTAAAGTGTCTTATATTTTATAGTTGTATGGCTCTATCTATATTTATTCATTCATTTATCAATCTAACCATCCATTCATCCGTTTATCTATCTGACTATTTATTCAATTGGAAGAAGTTATTGTTCTTTTCAGTTCAACAAAATGAAAAAGCAAAATTAAAAAGGAAAAATTCTACCGCATATTTAAATGACTATGGAAATTTACTTGAAGTTTGTGTATAAGAGAAACACTACACTACACTAGGTAGTTTGTATTTGTACATTTTTTAACTTTCTTATATTTATAATACATAAACAGCAACAGTATAAAAGTGGTACAGCTAACCATATAGAAGAATGTTTGGAATATAAAGAATTTTCAAGACCAAGAAGAGTAAAATGATTGGAAAAAACAAAAAGTGAAAACTAAAATGAAAAATTGTTTCGCCCTTAAGATATTCCATTTCAATTTATAGAACAAAGAAAAAAGCTAAATTGTTTAAATAAAATGAATAATGCAAAAGAGTTTTTATAACTGACAAAAGGACCTGAAAAGACAATTGATAAACCAAAAAAAATTTAGAGAAGTTTTTTTCCTCTTATTTAAAATGGTTGTTTTTGATCATTTTTTGCTCAACCAACTATCAAATAAAGAAATTATGTTGGCTAATCGAAATTTTTAGAAAATTCATATTTTCCATGTACACACATTACAACACTATTTAAGGAGTTTACTTGCTAATAAAAATTAATACACACATTACATTGAAATTGTTAATTTTAAAAGCTAATAAAGATCTTAAAGCCCTAAGAATATTTACCGCATTGTGAATGTGACAGTCATCAATAGAAGTAATAAAAAGATAGTCATTATTTTTTCAAAAATCTAGAAATACTGTTTCTATAATTAATACAGATAATCGACTTAATTTATGCTTAAATTGAATAAAGAAATTTGAATATTTTAAAAAATCATTTTAATTATAGAGGAATTCCTACAACATTGTTAAATGGTCGAAAAAGTTGGTTTCATTTTCTTTTGAATTGCACGTTAATTTGGGTTTTAAAAATTCTAAATACTCGTAACACTTATAAGTTTTAATTAACTTTTTTATTCATTTTCGATTCATTTAAACTCATTTTATTCGTTTTATTATAATATTGTTGTTCTTGCATTAAAAATTTTCATAAAAAATTGTGTTTATTAGTTTCATCGCATTTTTCCGCCTTGTTTAAAAAATATATATACAGAAAACTATTATGATTCATCACAACCTTGAAATTTTAAAGCTTCTTGCATAAAACTGCCGGTCTCCGATCTTGTACATTATGAAATGAAAGTGCTTAATTTCATGGTAAGGCTTAAGACAAGGTTTTTTTTTAAGTTTGGTTTTTTCATTTTTTGTTCATAACACATACAAGAATTTTCACAAAGTTTCGATTGTCCTATATTTATGAATTTTATTTTCATATATTTGCATTTTTGCTTTTGAAATCCTCAAGATATTAGGTACTTTTTGAAAGCAATGAATGCGAATTATTTATTCAAATTTGGAACTTCAATTAAACTTCAAACTTAGACATCTTAATGTCAATTTTATGGAAATACAAAAATTTATATTTTTATATTTGTATGCCATCAATTCCACATTTTATGGTAAAAACATTTTTCTTTTTTTAACATTTATTTTCTAACTTCTTTGAATTTTTCATATTTTTTATTTTTATTGTTCATTTTTCTCTTATAAGTAAAATTTTTAATTTATTTTTGATTTCTGTATAAGGAAAAGTAAATCACAATTAAATTTTGAATAACGAATACTAACCACCACTTCACCAGTATGACTAATGACAATTTTTGTGGGGTACCAAGTGACTGCATTATAATGTTACAACAAAAGAGTAAAGACTATAGACTATAACAAGAAAACACCAAAAAATAAAGAAAGAAAAACATTCAGTGAATTTTGTCTTCATTTCAAAAAAATAAAGAAAAATAATTTTTAGCAATCAGTCTTTGAAAGATCTTAGTTCAAAGTCCTTTTAAGAATTAAACCAAAAAGAAACACAAAAACAAAAGTGTGAACAATATTGTTAGAAGACAAAGAAAATTAAAACCCTCCCTAGCAAGCAAAAAAAGTCAAAATCAAAAATTCAAAGAACACAACCAAAAAACTAGAATTTCAGATTTATACATACACACATAATTATATGTACTTATATGTCTATGCACACATGAAATGAATTTAATATTATAATGTTGATTGACAAAAATATACTGTGGTTGGTATTAGGCACAGATAGTACCAAATGTGAGAAGAACATCAGCAAAATTTTCTGCAAGAAAATATTCGCTTAAAAAGCTTTGATTTCTTTTCTTTGCTCACAGATAGAAAATTACATAGCAAAATGCTTCTAGGTGCCATTAAAATTTCAAGGGACTGATTTTTCCATATTTCAACATCTGTACGGTTTATTTAATAGTGGTTAATAATTTTAAGGACAAAAATAAAAAATATAAGCATAATAAAAACATTTCATAGCACATAATCGAATTAAGCTTACTATATAGCCATATCTTTCTGTCCATTTATTGAAATGCTTATTTGATAAGCGAAAACCTTAACTTATTTTGAAGTTGTTCTCATTGCTTAAACACAATACTCGTGTGTTCTTAAAATAATTGTTTTATATAATAAGTAAATTTTGCATAATATTAGAATGACAGTATAAGTTAACTAAAAACAATAAAAATACCTAACAAATGGTTAAAAAGGAGAAAAAATAGAGTTGACCTTGTCAACTCTGTGATACCCGTACGAATTTGTTATCCTATGAGCGAGTAAATATGCCATAACTGACTATGGGACAGACTATGACTTTAAGTTGCCGTAATGCCATGTTAATTTATGCAAAATTTCAGTACTGTGCTTTTCAAAATACTATGTGTGCCAAACTACTTTTGAAGCTGTATGGCAGCTACCCAAACCGGTTCCCTGTTCTTGTTCAATTTAAATGGGGTTCTGGCACTTACTACAATAAATCATTTTTTGAAAATTTTGTGAACTTAGCTCAATTAGTTTTTGAGTTATCGTTGGGACGGACGGACAGACAAAGCTAAATCAACTCAGAATTCGACGCTGATCAAACACATACACTTAAGTCTATATCTAAGACCGTTATTTCTTAGCGTTGCAAACGGTAAGGCAAATTTAGTATACCCTTCGAACATATGTTCGTACGGGTATAAATAGTAGAGACGAAATTTACCCTTCTTCGATTTTACAGAAATTTGAAAAGGTTACAGTTTCGGAAATATAGGGACAGATGGTTGAAATTTTAAAAGAAGATAACTAAGAAAACGAGGTTCTTTCTTTCTAAATATTTTTTCGAAAGTCTGTATTCTGAATTTTCATTAAACAAAATATTTACAAAACTTTTGAAAAAGTTGGAAGGGAAAAAATTCTTTATATCAAAATTTAGTTCATGTTGACTTTAATCCTAGTACCTATATAGTTTGTAAGATAAATAAGTATTTCATAAAATGTAATAAAAACCAAAAATTTTTTTATTATTACATTTGTTTCGCATTCCCAAGTATTTTACATATATTTTCTTCTGTTATTTGAACTTATATATTAAAACGTGTAAGTTTCAAAATGCGAGATTTACAACCAAAATTTTATAAGAGGAAAAAAGAAGAGAAAAAAAAAACGAAAATATTGTTTGTTCATTATTGCAACAAGGTCTAAATATTTTAACCTCGACCTAAACTAAAAAGTTCTGACTTTTAAGTTTTAAATAAATAAATGATTTGAAATTGTTTAAAAATTTAATAAGGCGTAAAACATTTTAAGATATTTAAGTGGAAATGAAAATAGGAAGTCAACTTCACATAAATTTTATTTATATTGTTAGATAGTTGTTACATACACAGTGTAATCAAATATAAATTAAAGAACAAATTATTTTAATGACGTCAGAACATTTTATATTTTGATTTTTGTTAGAGCAATTAATTTTAGTTTCATCAAGTTCAAGATTAGATAATTATTTAACAGCCGTAAACGATGTAAACACTTTTACAAGCTGTGCTTACAATTTTTGCTTCCGAATAATAATTTCTTAGAAATAAGTCGTAAGATATTCCCATATTCGAGACGAAAAATATTTACGAGTTTTAATACATTAATTCTTAAATAATTTTTAGTAGCCTTGAAAATTGACATTAATATTTGCACATGACGAAATAAGTTCCGCATAG